CCAGATCATTTCAATTGTGTTTCTTCCTGTCTCTTTCTCTACTCTATTGTTTCCACTTTTTCTCGTTAATCTCACAGACCCCATCTTTCTTCGCTTCCTAATTTCAAAGATCTCAGTCTCTCTAATCTATTTTTTTCATCACGACCAAACCTCGACTTCGTCTCCACCACATCTTATTATCGTTACAACCACAGCTCGTCGTTGTCACCACCACCATAGCTTCGTCCATTGAGGAGAGGATGAAGAAGACCATTTGACCTCCTCAACACCACATGTAAATTCACTTCCCCTTCCTCTTTTCTGTTCTATTTTCTCTTCATCTTCGTATATATTTGTAATTGATTTTGTATTGTTTACAGATCTAAGAAGGAGCAGGGAAGGAGAAGCAATGGTGGAAAGAGAGGCGTCTCCGGATTCGTCGCTGCATCTACGGCTTCGTCGCTGCATCTGCGGCTTCATCGCTGCGTCTGCGGCTGGCGAGTTCGTGCATAAGGATTAAAAGGTTCTTCCTACATTATTATCTGCAGATGATGATTGCTGCATCATCAAGGCAGAAATCTGTAAGGACAGCTTCAGCAAAAACAATTGGTAACCTGATTAAGCATAAGTACGATGGTGTGAAGAAGGGGCCAAAATGTAATGATGTCATCGAGCTTATGCGTGATGAGCATGGGATCGAAGTGTCAAAGTCTTTAGCATGGGATGCTCGTGAGTATGCTATCAACATAATGAGAGGTATTCCAGAAGCAGATTATGCAAAGATTCCCAAATACTTGCACATGATGAAGGAAGCTAATATGGGTCACACACATGTTACAAACTGACAGGTATGGGAGATTCAGATTCCTTTTCCTCTCGTTTGGGCAGTGTGTCCGAGGTTTTTACAAAGCCATTCGAAAAGTTATTGTTCTTGATGGAACGTTTTTGAAGAGCAAATTCAAAGGTGTTTTACTAGTTGCTATTGCTTTGGATGGAAACTCAAACTTATATCTAATTGCATTTGGAGTTGTTGACTCAGAGAATGACCGCTCGTGGAACTGGTTTATGAGACAAGTAAAAGTGGTTATTGCTGACGAGCAGAGTCTGGCTTTCGTGACTGATAGGAATACCTCACTTGCTAAAGCTATTGCAAACGTGTACCCCCAATCTAATCATGGAATTTTCATTCACCACTTTCTGAATAATGTTGTAACAAATTACGAAGGAAAAGGTATGGTTGGTTTGGTTGCAAAGGCTTCTAAAGCTTATCGAGTTGCTGATTTTCAGAAGATATTCACAGCTGTTTGCGCAATTAGTCCAAGGATTGGAAAATATCTTATAGATGCAGATGTGAGAAAGTGGGCTCGTTGTCAATTTCCAGGTTTTAGGTATGATATTAGGACCAATAATCCTACTGAATCGATAAATGCTACATTGCGTCCGCCGAGAGAGTTTCTGATCATTCCTTTGTTGGACAACATAAGGGAAATGATGACTCACTGGTTTTTTGAACCTAGAAAGAAAATTTATAAGCATAATAAACCATTGACCAAAGCTGTGGAAAACAAGGTTGACAGAAAGATTCAGAAGGGAAAGACATTTAAAGTTTACCCGATTACCGATGACCGATTTCTGGTTCGCGGAGACGAAATTGATTGTATGGTTGATCTGGTGAGACGCACATGTTCTTGTGGAAAATATGACTTGATATAGATCCCATGCAGGCACGCCATTAAATCAGGTTTCCGTGTAGGCAGAGAAGTTCACAGTTTAACTGAGGAGTACTACACAACTTCTTCTTGGAACTCAGTTTACGAGGAGAGCATAAATCTGATAAGTGTCCCACAAGATGCATGGGTTGTCCCATAAAATGTGGAGATTTCAAAAGGTCTTCCTCTGGAGAGTCAAATATCATCAGGAAGGAGAAGGAAACGAAGATACGAGACAGTCAAAGACAAGATTTGTATGTCACAAGGAAGTCAAGGTCCTAAAAGACGCAAATGCAGTAGGTGTGGGATTGAAGGTCACAATAGGTCGAGATGTGATAGGGCAATATAGAGCTCTGGTTTTTCTTTTGATTTTCTTTGGATTTTAGTTATACTTTGGATGTTTGCTTTTCTATGGATTCAGTTTTCTCTTTGTTTGATCATCGACTCAATATAGAGCTCTGGTTTTTTTTGGATTTTAGTTATACTTTGGATGTTTGGTTTTCTATGGATTCGGTTTTCACTTTGTTTGATCATTGATATACAGCTCTGGTTTTTCTCTCGATTTTAGTCATACTTTGCATTCCTCTTAGTTCGATCAAATGCTTACTATCGCTTGTACTGAGAAAGATAATAACTTTCTTAATATATTTCAATCTCTGTTACAAACTCTTTCAAAAATCCATTGAATTACGCCAATACAACCTACATCAACCGCCTCTTTATGTTTCATAACTTTTTCTTCAGCTGCCTTCTTGAAACACCTTTTCAATTCTTCAATATTTTCTTCAATTATATCTTTTTTTGCAGCAACCCTATGGAGTTCATCAAACATAGCTTCACCGACCCACTTAAACAGATGATCTTCTGTCCGCCTCTAAATCAAAACCAGAAAACATAGATCTAAATCATAAATAATTAACATTCATCGAATAATAAGCTATCGTGCATAAACATGTAACCCAATCTCACATCTATAGAAACGTCTGTAAGGGTACTCATCTGTTTTCGAAACATATGTGACATTCTTTTTGCCACACCAACATCTGGAAGGGATTCTGTGAAACGATCTTCTATGCGATGTCATATCGTGGATCAGAGAGAAAATAGCTGAAGAAGATGGAGGCATACGATAGGTTTGAGAATGATTATATAGGGTCATATTATTAGGGTAAACGGCTCATGGGACCAGCGTCAGTTTTAGAATCTTTTTTATGTTCAACATGTTTCTGACTTTTATGTAAATCATATCGATCTAGTGCATTTATCTATATCAAGCAAATAGTTTAGGGTATAGATAATGTATTTTGTTTAGGGTATAGATAATGTCTTCTTTTTAAGGTCAAATTTAGGGTGTAGCTAAGTTCTTGTGTTTAAGGTCGAATTTAGGGTATAGATAAGTTCTTGTGTTTAAGATCAAGTTTAGGGTATAGATAAGTTCTTGTGTTTAAGGTCAAGTTTACGGTATATATAAGTTCTTGTGTTTAAGATCAAGTTTAGGGTATAGATAAGTTCTTGTGTTTAAGGTCAAGTTTAGGGTATATATAAATTCTTGTGTTTAAGGTCAAGTTTAGGGTATAGAAAAGTTCTTCTGTTTAAGATCAAGTCTTATAAGTTGTAAAACGCGATCTCAAATACATCCCAATAAGTCTGAAAAGTTAGAAAAAGCTAATTCAAATACAAGAAACTAAAGCTCCACAACACTAGAAGTAATCGTCTTCGGAGGTGTGTACTTTGACATTCGCAAGATCAGTTCGGGATCGTTTGCAGCTTCTCAAAGATCGTATGCAATCTTGTGTCGGGCTTCAAGAATGTTGTCATCGTTCACCAATGTTAAATCTAATCCTAGAAGGTGACACTCAATGAATTTCAGTGCATAAATTCCGCAGTCACTAGCACTCTTGTTTAGGAATGGCGCTGGCACGTACACAACTTTGTATGGTGTGACCGAAACATATTTCTTGTTTGCATCTGATTGGACTGCTTTGACTATCCAAGGGATTAGAACCGCAAATGGCTTCACATGTTTGTGGTGTTTCATTCCCCCACAATCGAAGACTTCAATCGTTCGAGTAACGAAATTAACACACAGACCGATCCAGTGATTGTTGTCTACATGGACAGGAACATACATACAGTTGACGTCGACATCCCACACTAGTCATGTTCTTCTATGCGGAGGAAGTTGTCTATTGGTGTAGGACTCTCTAACCTTAAAGTTTTTTCAACTCATTCTTGTGATTCGAATATGAACACTTGATTTGAGAACTGAATAAACAGCTCATGAAATTCACCTTGTCTGCCTTCCACCGTCGCAACGTTGTCCTCTCCCGGAATAAGAATAACATGGCATCAATTTCCTGAAAATTACCAATTAACATTCTACACATGACCAAAACGATTAACATACAAAGTACAAATTTATATCGTCTTACAAAGTTTTTTAACCAATCCGTAGGTCCCATTATACATGCTGACATCTCAGTTGTAAACGTAGAAGGTTCAATCTTAAGTTCTCTAAGAAAGATAAAAGAGATATTAGATTCTTTAATATTAAAGACTGAAAAAAACAAACTTACTTGGAAGTGAGGGACCACTCAACTAGTTTGGCCCATGATTCTTCGGGAACAAAAACCAAAGAGTAATCCTTGTCTTTTACACGGTCCTAAATCTACATCCCGTAAGAATGGTCTTGAATTTTCTTTGGGCCTAAATAAAGTCAATGGGGTTACCCATTCCTTTGGGTCCTCAACCTTCACTTTTTGGGATGGATCGAATCCTTTCACATATGAATCTTGTGAAAGATTTTCCATTGTCTTCCTTAGAAACTCTTGTGTTCCTAGCTCTAGATCAATGTTAGACGATTGGGACATATTTACATTATGTAAGTTCCCAAAAAAATCAGGCATTTCAACATCCTCTATTTTTTCATCCTGCTAATAAGACAACCCAAAACAACATTAATAAAAATCCAGGACTATCATACATTACACAAAATATTACAAAATTATGTTTGATACCGAAACAGCTTAACAAAAAGATTACAACATGTTACAAAAGATTACAAACGAAACTTCATTTCTTGTTTACCTGTCGCTTAGGACGAGGGCTACGACGAGGGCTACACATTGTCGAAGGATCAGGAACCTTGGATGCAGGGACATCTTTTCTTGGTATTATAGCTGATGTCATTGTCTGCTTGAGGTGTGCAATCTCACTGTCGATTTTGTCAAAGCGACTGTCAAGCTTGTCAAATCTATGATCAACATGCTTATGAACATCTTCCTTCATTGAGTTGAAAGAAGTGGTGAACAATCATGCAATAAAGGTCTTCGTTTCATCATCGAGACCTCTACTCTGCTCTGCCGTCTGTTGGAAAAATAGCTGTTGCTTCCTCGACTCATAACCAGGGTCCGTCACCTTTCTCTTGACACTTCTTTTTACAACATGCTCATTTGGTTCATTCTCTTCAGATACTACTTTATCATTGGCCACATGTACATGATCTTCCTCATGTAGCGGATCTTGAGCCGCTATAGATTCCTCAACTTCCCAAACGACTTTGCTCCAATCAACATTTGCTGCTATCATCGACATAATTTTGTTGACTCGTTCATCCTTCTTCGCATCATCCCTTTTGGAGCTCCCTTTAGCAATGACATCATTGTTTCTGGTATCAGATATGTATGGAAACACAACCACATTCTGTAAATACAAAACCAGAGAACATTAGTACTTATAAGTTATAAACAAACAAATAAATGGAAGTTTGTGATCACCTTTCCAAGTGCAGTTTCTAGGAAAGTGATATCAGAGTAAGATACCTTTCCACGACCATACCAGTTTTGACATCTCACACTTGTTACACCTTCTTTGTATTTGTGACCCAACAAGCTTCCAATGTCCGGAATCGCCTCTATAAACCAGATCTGTAGAGTGTAGGAGAATCCATCTAATACATAACTGTTTTTCTTCAGCTTATACCTTGCCTTCTCTATGGACTCCACTAGCATATCATAAGCATGAAGACCCCATGGATACTTCCTCATTTTATCAAAATCCATCAACAATCTTATGTATTCAAGAGGGATGTACGTCTTCTCATCCTTAGCCATTATAAAACCGTAAATAACACAAAGGTACACTAGCCTGACTATGTCCACACGCGACCAGTTCTTACACTCCTTCAGATGCTTCAGCCTAATTTCTCTAATGCTTACATCTCTTTCTTGCCTAAGCAAAATGCTCCAAAACCCTTTATCAGATCTCCAAGACTGAAAATCAGTGTCGTTGTCTGCTTTGCATTTGAGACCAGTTACAGCGTAGAACTATTGCATAGAAAACCGTAAAGGCTTCATAGCAAAGAGAAACCATAACTCATGACGCTTGGAAATGTTGAGTTGTTTGCATACGAAGCTATGAATAACCTTACCCGAGTATCCAAGCTGATGCTCATTGATAGCAAAAATTGGACCGAAGACCGGATCTTTCAAAACAACATCATACTCATCCTTAAGAGATTCCTTCAGTATCTGCAGGATTGTGAGCCTACATGTGTTGTTGATCTTTTCAATACGGTGTTCAACTCCTGCTTCAGCTATGCGTTTAGGAAGCTCTATTACCATTCCTATAGACCACGAAATCACAACATTACATGTGTTTTTCAACCAATGCAATCAATCAGACACAAACAATATCAAACGAAAGGCAAACACATAAAAAAATTTGAGTTTTTTTTTACATCCTAATAAGATCTCGATTCAAAGGAATTATAACTCAAATCGGTTTCATACATGGAAGGTGTGATATACTGAAACCCATTCTATGATTTTCAAGCATGAACATAAAAAAACAAAACAAAAATTTGGGGATCTCGAAACCTTAACCTTCAGTTTCGAAAAAAGATGAATGGTGCTGGAGAAAAAACACAAGGAATAGAGCTAAAGGCTACAACCACCGAGGATTAGTTTTCCGGCGATGATTCTCGATTCTTCTTTCCGTTGGCGGAGAGAACGAGGAGAACGAGCAAAGAGGTTACCGCGGAGAGGAAAGAGAGAAGAGGGAAGAGGACTGAAGATGTCTCGATGGTGATAACGAGTTTATGCCGGAGAGAAAGTGACTGTGGAGAAGGTGACCGGAGAAACTGAGTTCAACATAATTACTATCGTCGTGAAGAAAGAAGGTGAAGTTTTTTATTCCTCTCGATGAAGAATAATATTTTTTTTTTTGATAACTTTTGTTTTATTCTTCGGTTCAGAAAATTGATTTATTATTATAGGTTAATTTCGAATTAACAGTAAAATATAATTCTAAGGGGACAACATTCTCATAAGGGGGACATCAATTCACCGTTTATGTTCCTTTTTTTTTTGTCAAGTACCGTTTATGTTCCAAATTAGCAATTTTCTGTTTGTTTTCGGAAGATGCTGAACCCGTTTGGGCCGAAAATCAAATATTGGATTTTCCGGTTATTAGTCCCGGTTTGGTCGTTTTTTATGTGTCTTATTATTATTTTTCTTTTTCTTGTTTCTTGTTTCTCTGTCTCTATTTTCTTCCGCAGCCCTAAATCAACGAGCGTGTATTGCTGCCGGAGAAACTGGATTCTCCTTGTTATTCTGGTATATTTTCCCGATTCAATTCTTCAGTTGTGGGCTAAGATTGTTCTTGTTTGATCAAGCAATCCACTTCTCTTTATGTGTATAAATTGAATCGAAAAGAAATTGGGGTTTCTGCGAACTTATCTCAGTTTCTTATAATCAATTAACCAGATTCATTCTTTTTTTTTTCTTCTTTTTTCTTGTAGAGCTAGCTTTGATACGCTCTGCCTTTGACCGTCCAGCGTCCACATATATATTGTTAATATGTTTTCTGGCATAAAGATCATACCTCGTGATCAGGTAAAGTTACTCGTTTCATTTCATTCATCAGTTGTTAAAAGTCTGGCTTGGGTTTGATGTTATTATCTTTCCTGCCAGGTGGTTGATGATAGCTCAGATGGAGAAGAAAATAAATCTAAAAGTGGCAAGGATAGAAGAAAAAAGAACAAAGACGTTAACAGAAAGGAGGATAAGAGAGACGGTAAGATGTCCAAGGGTGGAGATGACGTCTTGCTGAAAGGGGATATTGTTAGAAAGAACAATGGCCTCGATTGGATGCTGCCACCAACCCGAAAGTCTGATCCAGTCCCTGCTTTAGATGCAGAGGAAAAACTGGAAAAAAGTACACATGAAGAGGTGAGTGAAGTTTGATTTGGATTTATATGGGTTCTTTTGGAGTTTCGATCTAACTGGTTCAGATTAGATGGTCCTGTTAATGATATATATATATTTTGTATTTCTCGACCAGGTTGTTAAAGTAAACCCGAGGGAGCTGAATCCTTTTTTGAAAGGAAATGGAACGGGTTATCCAGAGGAAGAACCTGAGAAAAGAAACGGTAAAGATCAGCTCTTACCATCTTCTGTTGTTGGAGATGGAGGTGCGAGTTGGAGAATGAAAGCGCTCAAGCGTGCAAAGGAACAGGCTGCAAGAGACGGGCAAAGACTTGAGGAGGTAAAGTTTCGTGTCTTATGACTTAGCATACTCTCTTGGGATTTTTTTGCCTTATTCTTTGAGAGTTTTCACAGGTTGTTGGAGAACGATTTGGTTCACTTGGTGACCTTGTTGAGTCCGTGGCATCTCAAAGGGCAGCTCCCTCTCGTGCTCATTTGAATGCCATTAATAACAGAAGAAGAGGCCAAAATGAAGAGAATGATAAAGAAAAGAAACCAGAGAGAATTTCTGAGAAGGTACTTGAACTGTCTTTGTTCCTTCTCATCTATTATGTTTAAAATTTTTCCTATTTAGTTATCTATAAGAAACCAGCTTAGTTGAGTCGTATCTCTCGTTTGTCAAGTTAACATCGACTCCTGTTACAAGAGAAAAAGCAAAGTTGCAGGCTCGTATCAGTGTGACAGCCAATATATTCTGACACTGGCGTGTTTTATTTGAAGGGTAATGGTCGGGAGTATTTGAAGGGTGACGCACTGAATCATCGTGTACTGAGAGCGCCTAAAACTGATCCTTCATTATCCTGGGGGAAAAGAAAGGGCCAAACTCATAGACATGAAGACTCAAAGCTAATATCTGAAGCTGCAGCTCACTTGAATAAGTTTTCCAACGATGGAAGCTTCATGAAGGAAATGCTAGATAAGCAGAAGAATGAATCAGTGGAGACCGGAGAGACTCGTGGAGATCACAGAAGCGACATGGAGCAAAAAACATTAACGTCAGCGACCAAAAAAGATGGTGAAGGGACTCTTAACAATATGGAATCTTTAAGTGTGAATCAACTGGCTGCTAAAGCCTTACAGCTCCGTCTGAAAGGGAAACTTGAAGAAGCCCAGAAACTTACGGTAAGACTATTTTTATTTTTTGTTTCACATCATTCTCTAGCCTTGTGCTTTGAGTCCTTTTCCTGATCATTGTCAGATTCATTCCCCAAATATAATTCTTAAATGGAATCTCTGATTTTCACAGGAAGAAGCAGAGAGGCTGAAAGCAAAGCAAGCTGTAGGAGACGATTCATCAAAAGAACAAAACTACATCAGAGCAGCGAGGTAAGTTTATATCTGGAGATGTTATAGGGCTTTTCTTTTGATATCGTATCGTTCTGACTCTCTTTCTGACTCATTAGGTATCCTATAAAAGACACGTCAGGTAGAAGGAAAAATGAAGAAGATAATACGGATAAGCATCTGGCCAAAAGCATTATGCATAACAAACAGTACAAGACATCTAATCAAGCAGCTGAGGATGAGTATGACTATGGAGACACTCCAAGCAAAAAGTCACGGAAGCGGGAAAGCAACGTTCCTGAAAAAGAGCATCTCGTGAAACGCATCATGACACAGCAAGAACGCTGCCTCTTCTGTTTTGAGAACCCAAAACGGCCGAAACATTTAGTTATATCAATCGCAAACTTCACCTATCTTATGTTACCACAACAGCAGCCCCTTGTCCCAGGCCATTGCTGTATCTTACCAATGCAGGTATATAATCAATCTAAAGAGGCTCTATATTTGACCTCTGTTACTTCTTGTATTGATGAGCTTTCTTTGACTGTGCAGCACGAGGCAGCCAGCAGAAGTGTGGACGACAACGTTTGGGATGAGATTAGGAATTTCAAGAAGTGTCTTATAATGATGTTTGCGAAAGAAGGAAAAGACGTTGTATTTTTGGAGACAGTGATTGGTTTATCTCAGCAGCGTCGCCACTGTTTGATTGACTGTATCCCAGTCCCTCAGGAGATAGCGAAAGAAGGGCCTCTTTACTTCAAGAAGGCAATTGATGAAGCTGAGAGTGAGTGGAGTCAGCACAACGCAAAGAAGCTCATTGACACAAGCGTGAAGGGTCTCAGGAATTCCATTCCCAAAAATTTCCCATACTTCCACGTTGAGTTTGGTCTAGACAAAGGGTTTGCTCACGTGATTGATGATGAGCAACAGTTCAATATCAATCTTGGATTGAATGTAATCAGAGGAATGCTAGAGTTGCCGGAAGAAGACATGTACAGAAGAAGAAGGCATGAGTCAGTGGAGAGCCAGAAGAAAGCGGTTGTGAGCTTTGCACGGGAATGGGAACACTTTGATTGGACGAAACAGCTCGATTAGACAGATCTATGGTTTGCCCTGTAATAGCTCGCCATCTGTTGTCTTCTCTTTGCAACAAAAAGGATTTTTGAACTTGTTCTTGTTTTCATATTGTTAGTCCTTAAACTATGACTGTATGTTTCCTCGTCGGAAACATACCGATCTCGAGTTGTCCTTCTCATTCTTGTTAAATGAATCCCTCAAAACATTGTTAATGGACATGGAAACAAATTGGTGTGTTCTATCGTGTAACCAATTCTGTGTAGTAATTAAACATTTGAGAACACTGAAAATTGTCGATAACACGCATCCAAAAAGAGAATTTCCAATAATTCAAAAGTAGTTGACTCCAAAGATATTTTATTTTATAGCCTTGAGAGTTAACACAAGAAAGTAGAACACGGAATGAGAACTGAAAGTTAGTATGATAATACAACCAACACGACAAGAGAAGCAAAGTACTAACGCATCGCAGCACTACTCCTTGAGATATTAACACGTGGTCTTTTGCTATCCTTTGGATTGTTGTTACAGTCAAAGCTCACACCATCTCCACCAACCATATCTGTGAACATCCGTTGCAAGTCCTCCAAGCTGTCTCCCTATTCATCATAACCCAAACCGGTTTGTTAAACACTAATTTATTATTTGATCTGAAAAATCTGAAACCAAGCAATAAATTACAAATACAGCTCGCGATTGGTTAATGCCTGCTCATCATTATTTATCAGACTGGTCTATGATCGGTCAACCTCAAATTTACTAAAACGATCGGTTAACATCAAATATACCAACGAATTTAACCGGTCCTGGGAACCCAATGAACAATCATATATATACTATGGTTATGGGTAGAGTTATTGAACCAACTGGTTATAGTGAACAAGGATTTCTAAGATAAGGATGAAAGAAGAGCAGAAAGTAAATCCATCGTACCTCGCCTTTGACATTGTTCATCATTGAGATCATCTCTTGCATGAAGTCACAGAAATCCTGTCAATTCAGTTTATAAATAATCATGAGGTGAGAATGGAAATGCGAAATGAATGAAATGAATCAAATATTGATACGAACGTCGTCATCATCTTCGTGGGGATCGTATAGTCCAGCGTCATACATGGAGCGCTTATTTTCGTCGTTCAGGACTGTGAGACAAACAGTTTAATTATGACGTGAGACGGACGTTAAGAAAAATTAACGACAAGAATAACGGACGTTAATAAGATATTTTGAAGGGGAGAGAATAATGTGAAATGACCAGAATAGGCTTCTTGGATTTGCTGAAACCGGCGTTTGGCTTCTCCTGCGACACCAGGATTCCTCGCGTATCTATCGGGATGCCATTTCTTCAACAAATAAAACAACAATTCACTAAAAATACTCAGAAATTAAAGATTTGGGTTCGAGAAGAAATTCGAAAGAGCAGTGGATGAAGTACCATGGCGAGCTTACGGTAAGCAGTGCGGATTTCGGAAACAGAGGCGTCTTTGCGAATACCGAGGACGTTGTAGTAGCTAGATCTAACGTTGGATCCTCCACCTTCCATTTTCGGATCTCTCCTCTGTTTCGATCACCGCTTCGTCTTCAACGATCTCTCTCCCTCTCTCTCACCCTTCAATTCTACAGCATCGAACACTAGAGAAAAAAAAGTAGAAAATTTAGGTTTCCCTCAGAAAATATGTGAGAGTTGAGGAGTAATGGCCTTTTTTTTGTGTGGAAGGGAAATGCAATGCACAACAAAATATCTTTGTGGGAGAGAGATGGAAGTTAGAGAAGGAAACTTCGAGAGAGGGTTTGATATTTTTTTATGTTAACTCATTCAAGATATTTTCTGCCTTGTCGTGTGTTTTTTTATTGTTTGATTATTGCAAGTCCCAATCTTGAGATTATATTTTCTCTTCAAAAGCCAAGTTTGGTCAAACAACGCATTGCAAATTTTTTTACAAGATCACATGTTCATACAGTTTAAAATTTTGCTAATATGAGGAGCTAAGGGTAAGCACTAACTACACCAAAAACTCAGAAAATAGTGGTGGTAACTGGTAAAACCACTAGTGTGCCAAAAAAAGGTAGAAACACTAACAATGACGCCTGAAGATATGTATATAAAAGCTATAGTAGACTGAATCGTAACTGGACATATTAGAGAATCGCCAGCGGTGATATTTATCGAAGTCCTTAGAAATTTTTCTTTTTGATTTTTTAATTATTATTTTTTCAGATTAAAATAAAAAAATACCAATCATTCGCGGACCACTATGTATCGTGGAGATCCGCAAATAGTACAAAGATTCACTAAAAAGAATTTTTATTTATAGATTTTTAAAAATTAATTATTAATTTTAGGTGGGATCCATAACTATTAATTTACTTTTTCTCTAAAATTCTTCTTTAATGTGGAGGTCCACAAATAGTGGAAAGATTCAATAAAAAAAATTTTTATTTAAAGATTAATTCTTAACTTTATGTGAGATCTATGACTATTTAATTATTTTTTCTCTAAAATTTCTCTTTAAAGATCCTCATTACGAATGTTCTTAGACCGTTAAAATTACATTATTTAGTAACACTAATTGTAAATGTCGCCTCATTATAATGGATATTAGGTAATATACTATGGACGCATGTGCAAATTTTAATATGAGTTTTACTTTTGATATTTACATTTTTAGGATTCATGTTGATCAGTTGCATTCTCTTATGTTAACATCTCATGTATGTACATGTAATCTATCATATACATGTTTAATTTTAGTATGAAGTGATTCATATATAATTTGGTGGAGAAAAATATAGTTAAAATATTATTGAATTATAATGAGACTTTCAACATAAGATTAACTTACATTTTATTTCTATAACCACCATCAAAACATCTGTTTCTGCATTAATATGAATGTGCTTCCACTTTTGAAGTACTCTAAACATTATTTACTTTTCCTTATAATCATTACATATTGATGTTTAAATTTATATAATAGATATACATGCAATAAATCATTCATGCATGTTTGATATGTACTATTCAGATAGTATATGTTATTTTGTTAGCAAGGTAAAATAAGAGTAATATAACTGAAATATAATGAAATTAAATATATTGATTTAATTGATTAAAATAAATTAAATAAAGAGTTTATATTCAACATAATATTGATTCCATTTTAGTTTTTGACACCACCATCACATTAGTTTTATGAGTGTTAATCGGATTCATTTGTGAAAAAGAACATGCGTATAAAATTATTAATACTATATTCGTAAAATTTGTTACTTATATACTTAAATAATTACTGTAACATACATTAATTGTAACTCATTAATTTCAGGCACATCAAGGTTCTACAATATTTGGTTGTATTCGTCAAAACCTGTAAGAATAATTAAACTTGGAGCTAAATCTAATGATATAGATTAATGCGAGAATACTTATTTTTCAAATAAATACAAACAAAAGAATAAGTCTAGGGACTGGCTAATATGCCAAAATTATAATAAAAATATTTCAGGTTCTCCGGATTGTCAAATACGAACTCATTATAGCTGAAACTGAACGGCAACGTTCAAACCTCAAGAATCAAACGCTCAGATGTTCAGGCCCGAAAAAAATTGATCTGAGATACTCTTGTTCGAAACTGGTCGGATTTGGAATTTAATATATCTTTACTTAAATTCAAAAATTTATCAAAATACCACAGACCCAACATAAACTTACATAATTACAACCTAACCAGAGTCATTTCGCGGATCATCCAAACCCGATCCATAAAATTCGGATCTATTTCTCCATAACTTCCGAAACCTTTGTAAGACTTACTGTAATCGTAAACTTTGGTGTAACTGTGTATCGTAATAAAACCTGAACAAATAAATACTGTCTCAGTTACAAAGTTATGCTAAATTGAACTAAATCGCACATTCAGGAGTACTCCACATTTAGATTGCAATTTATTATTACGTTATTGTTTGGCCACATGTGTTGTTATTGACATATTTATTGAAGTTCAAATAAAAAAGATTAGTTTATAGATATAACTAGAGTAATTACATAATGTTTATAGATAAAACTAGAGAAATAACAAAGCATATTGTGAAGAGTAATTTACATAACAAGTCCTCCATCACGATGTCGAATGAAACTATCCATGGAATCGTGCGTCGTGTGAAACGTAGATCTTAGTAAAACTAGATAAAACTTCTATGTCATAAACACCCAACTAATCTTCAATGGGCCATGCACGAGCAGTCAAGTGTATGACATAGCAGAAGTCCCAAGCTGCACAATTCCAGAAACAACAATCTCATTTCCACCGTAATCTTGATCCATCTAGGGAGACTACAAACATTGGAGGGTCTAAGTTGGAGCACCAGCAATAATGTGGCACATTAGGATCTATCCTTTCAGCCACAAATATAAACATGGGAGGTTTTTTGTAATCCCAATTGCCTACGATTTCCCAACTAGTGATGATTTGAAACATCTCGTCAACATGTTGACGAGTAAAAGCAGGGTAGTTGTGAACAATTCCTCTACCATCAACGCTAAAGGCTAAGTTCATCATAGCATCTACAAATTGTGCCAACACGATGTATTTTTTCCCTTCCTTAATCAAGTAAATGGAGGAAGAAGAACTCATACATACCTCTCATGTAGATGGCCTCAGTATTACCCAAACGGTAGCATTTAACCTTGAAAGCTCGAATAGCATTGACCTCATTTGCCCAGTCATTGAAGTAAATGAGATTGGCCGATCTATAGAAGTGATCATCTCTTCCAACTTCATAAAACCCTAGAAAAGAAATCCTTGCAGAACCAAAGTTCCGGATACCGGTCATTAATACTTTAGAGAGAATCTTATGAAGAATTGAAGGAGGGAGAGAAGTCAAGTTCACGTTCTCCATGTCTAACTCTGATAAAAGAAAACGGTTAATGGTGAGAGAAATCACAAGTTTGTAGAAGTGATAAACCCTTAAAATTTAATGAACCACTCACCCTAATCAAAAGAAGCGTGTCCATTTAAGTGTGATTTGATGGACTCCTCGAGAAGACACGATGTTTCTCAGACACGACTTCTCTCACACGCCTTCTGAATATCTACACTCGCATCTCTTGGAACTGTAACTTTGTATAAGATATATAAATATATATAAAGTAAGTGAAACTAAGATATATAACTATATAAGTAAGTGAAAGTAAGTGAGTTAGATTGTTATGAAACTAAGAAAAAATTCAAAATTTAGATTGCATAAATTTTTTGAAACTATGTAAAACGTAGGTAAGGATATATTAAATTAAAATAGTAATATAAAGGTTAAAGAAAAACCTGTAATTATGGAGCTGGGTGATTTGATGGACTACTCGAAAGAACACGACTTCTCTCATGAAAATGTCTAGTTTGAAGTCTCTCTTATAATCATTACACTTGCATTTAAACGCCACAACACTACACCGTCATTAAGTAGTAGATCATCATAACCATTGCATTTAAACTCCACTTTGAACCCCGAGAAAGCATAACTACTCCAACTTATCTCACACGCTTTCTGACTGCAACAATCGCCTCTCCTGAAATTTCAGATATATAAATATGTAAACGTAACAATTTAGATTGTATGAAAATTTGAAACTGTACAAAACTTAACGAAATTTTTGATATTATATCGTTTTATTTTTCAAAAGATGGTCAGTTACCAAAATGGATAATAGTTAGTGAATATATTTAGAGTTCATATATTTAATGATAGCAACTAGCAGTGTAAGAGATAATAACTGAAAAGGATAATATTAATTATGAGAAAAAAGCCTCGTCGAAAGAACACGACTTCTCTTGTGAAAAAGTCTCTTGTATACGCCACATCTCTTACATTTATAAGAATTCTGCATTTAAACACTCACCGTTACTCCATCTCCTCTCTCATCTTTTCTCTCATCTCTGCGAATACTCCATCTCTTCTCTCATCTCTCAACAAAGAAGATGGCAGAGTACAATAAGCTTTCCGAGGTTACTTTTAACCCCAAGATCAGGTCTTGGCGTTTCAAAGTGCAACTACACAGGATCTACCCTTACGCGATTACCAACCATGGGTCTTACTATAAGTATATCCTCGCAGGTGCAGATGTAAGTGTTATATCATCATCTCTCAAGTGTGTAATAAACATGTAACCGTGAGAAATAAAAACTTGATCTTTGTAACATGTAATAAACATGATCTTTGTACTTTATTTATGTAGGGATACAAGATGGAGATGACCACTGATGGGGATTATCCAAATTTTAGAGGCCTTGAGAAGGAAGAGGGAAGATGGGTGGAAATCTTTGTGGTAGAAGTTGAACGGACCTACCCATGTTTCCAGCCAACTAGCTCTCCGTTCAGACTAAATGCTTCGCGCTGTACGCAAGTCCGCATCATCAAACCTCTGAACAGTCGTCTTTTCTTGGACTTCAAAAGCATCCATGAAATCCCTCGCATGCACTGGCGTGACCTCAGATATCCCATAGGTATGTTGGTAATCTCAACAGTCGCATATCTTGGTTTCAGAACTTTGTAGAACTCTGTAGATGTAAGTGAAACTAAGTGAAACGAACTGATTTAGTTGAGTAACACTTATATGGTAGACACAATGGGAGTGGTCTTCAACACAGAAGTCTATCTCGATGCCCCTTCAGGTCCAAGGATGGAGTTTTACATAAGGGACAACATGTGAGTATAAAGTAACATATGATCCAAGCAAAATTTATATATATATTGTAACTGACCCACTTTTTCTTTATTCTGAATAGTGACCATCAGATAAAATGTCTGGTGACCGGCAATCAGGCCTATGCCTTCCGGGATGGTCTTGATTACATGAGTGGGGGGGGGGGGGTCGTAGACAGGTGATTGTGGCTCTTAAGATGTGGAGAGTCTAGAAATTTATGCGTAAGTGTTGTTTCTGTGACTAGTTTTAAATGTGATAGTTGAGTAGAACTTTTACTAAAATCACTTATACAGGTTATTTTGGTCCTCCTGAAATATGGCTTGAGACCGAAGGTGGATTTGCGGACTTCAGGTTCAATCCGTGTTTGCCCAAGGTTGAGGAATTCAGGCAGTCTCTACTAAACAGCGACCCTTATGTTCAGAAATATGGGGTTGAAGGTCTCGTGTAAATGTTTAATGTCGGATTCAACTTTGTTTAAATGTCGATAAAACTATGTGTTAATGTTGGTGAAACTTTCTCTATTGTTCTATTTCCGATCTCTCTATTTTCCAACTTTATAGTTTCACTTAATCAATTGTTCAACTTTCTAAACTTAAGACAAAGTTGAATTTCGTTGGTGTTACATTGTTGTCTAACTTAGAGAAAACATAACAATAACAGAAAAGTTTTCCAGGAATTACTTATTGTACAGCATAATTCCTAGTACTAAAACGACTTTAAGAAGAACACAACCTCCAGATATCTTGGAACTCGTCGTCGGACCTTCACTCCTTATTGTTGCTTTGAGAAGTTTAACTTCTTCTTCGAGCATTCGAACTTGGCAATCCAACTGTTGTATCTCATCAGTGAAAGCTTCATCAACCCATTTGAAAACGTGATTATCGTTCTCAAGCTACGACATGGATATTTTCAAAACGAGTAAGCGTAATTCGTAAGCTTTCGAGAGTAAGTAAAAGGTAAATGGATAATACCCTTAATGAAGCCGCATAGAGACACCGATAATACCGGCGAAATGGGTTTAGTTTGCTTTTCGATATGACCACGGTGATTCCCACCCTGCACCAACACTTATTAGGTATTCCCGGAGTTCGTACTCGTGTCCGACCACCGGTCCTGGAAGATGAAGCGGTGGACATCTCAATTTCTCTGTGAGTTCGAGGAGAGGAATCAGAGAGAGAGAGAGAGAGAGAGAGAGAGAGAGAAAGAGAGAGAGAGAGAGAGAGAGAGAGAGAGAGAGAGAGAGAGAGAGAGAGAGAGAGAGA